AACAAGCTGGGCACTCATTTTAGCAACCTCGGAAAGATGCAAGGCTTAGTCAACCCTGAGCCCCTGGCTGATATTGAACTCACAACCTTATGGTTTGTGAGTGAGTGGCTGCAGTACATGCATTTAACCACTTTGCCACCAGGGCTCTTCCACCATTCTACTATCTGCATGGTGGCACTGAGCATGCATACTTATGTCTTTGGAACACACATTTATTTTATATTGTCTGCTTCTTTTCTATTTCCCTTGTATGTATGTAGTTATGCAGACTTTTACTGGGTCAAGTCTGCAGGCAACTTTGCATAGATAAGTATGTGAAATTCATTACAATGTGACAGCAGTTGATACTCTTTTTGTCAGCCTCCTCCATATTAATCATCTTTTCAAAAGTTCATTTTTCTTCTGTGTTCTCTGTTGTGTTTGCTAATGAGCTAACACCTATGCATCAGGGTTTATACTTCACCTTTGCATTGTTCACACACTTGATACATTTTGATCTTTTCTCCATAGTGTGTTCCCTGTTTTTCCCTTCTATGCTTTAGATATCTCAGGTTCTCAATATCTTTATTATTGTTTTTGTTTTTGCTAGAAAACAACATGTATTATCATAGTCCATTGTGGTGAATAATTGCACTTTCTCATATTTCCAGTTTCACATGGGGACCATTTCTAATATGTAGCACATCTCCATTGTCTGCTCTGGTTGTTGTTTTGTTTCTGTCAGGATTTTTGCCCTTAACACTAAGACTTTTTCATGTTTTGACATCTCTCAGTCATTGTGCAGAGTTTGCTTGTTTTTCTTCAAAAATAAACTTTTTCATTCAATTGCTTTCCTTCACTCCATTTTTCAATTTTCTCTTACAATTTTATCAAGAAACTTCATGACCAAACAAAACTAGTCTAACTCTTGTGGAGGCAGTGAGATCCACATTACACAGGGCTTTTTAACCCTTCCCCCAGGTTAGGAAAAGTGTTTTTCATTTATTTTAAATTCTTAATTCATTGGGGCATTAAGAAAAGTCTCTGGCTTCCCTAGAAAAAAATCCTTTGCATGTTTAGATATAACTCCTGCTATGTTCAATATTGCATATTCCCAGGTAAGATTGTCTAGACTGCAATTAGAATCCTTCTGCATATCCTGTTGAAGAACTTAGGGCAGGGGTTGGCAACCTTTGGACTGCCCCCGCCACCCCCCACTGCCGCATATGTCGCCGCTGCCATTTGTTTTCCAAAATGGTGGCTGCAACTCATTTGCACATGCGCAGTACTCCTGCGTATGCACGAATGAGCCACGGCCACTATTTTGGAAAATAAAATGGTGGCCGCAACTTGTTCGCACATGTACAGGATACTCTAATATCCCTATGGTATAGAGTGGACTTCAGTACCAAAGGAATAAGTCAAATATCGTTTAGGATATCATGCTTACCTCTGTTCCCTGTTAGATGGGGTGAGAACACTCTTGGAGGATTGCCAAGCTGGCTGTTGGATTCTGGTAGTTGTCTAAAAAGCATCTCTTCCAAGATCTATGCACAACTTTCTATTGACCGCCTCATCACTAGATGTCTATAAGTATCTGATACCAATTGATTCAAGCTATGCTGAAGTTGTCTAGTCTATGTACTATCCCCTGGGAACTGATCAAAAGAGAAATTTATAAAGTTTCTTTCTTGCCCACACACAGGGCTGGTAGCTCCATTCAAGAAGACCAAAGACTAAAGTATAGGCCATTTATTTTCTTTTTAACAGTCACTCAAACAAGCCAGTGGCCTGATGTTTGAAGTGGGGCTGGAGGAAGAACCAAACATGAATGCTAAAATGTGCATTAAAAGGATTTCACCTAGTATCCAAGAGCAAGAGATGCAAGCAGGGAAGGAAAATGATATAGATTCCAAAGACTAAAAAATAAATAAACCAATGATTAAAATGCTAATTAGTGACACTTGATGACATGTGCAACACATGAATATTCAAAGTGATACAAAATTGTATCCAAAGGCACTGGCCATGAATCTAAAACAGTGATTAACAACTACTCGTCAAAAATTCAAGGCTGGCTTTTTTTTTACTTTTTTCTCTCTGGTTTTGCCCTAAAGTGTCAATTAACGATCATTAATAAGTCAGGCATGAAAAGTCCTGAATTGTGTTTTGAAACATTTTTCCTCTTCACAAAGGGCAACGTTTCCTGTTAAATTGAGGTTGTTCCATTATTTTGTATCAAGATTGAATAAAATGAAACAGGTGGCTGTTTTTTATGTGTGTGGGGTATTTTTTGTTCTGTTTTGAGGCAGAAATATCTGAATATCAGAACAATAATCCTATTCAAATCCTGGATATCTAGTTACTGACAGCAAACCTATTTGGGCTCCAGATTAGGAGTAAAATCCAGATAACGTTTATCACCTTAAAGTCTCCTTCATCAGGAATAGGGAATTATTCTGGTGCATGACTTATAGGATCAAAAGCTCAGGTGTCATCTGTTGGGCAGATCCAGAACCAAAACTAGAACTTACTCAAGTTACTTTTTGGAGCCATAAATCCCAGAATCACCCTGCTAGTATGTTCAGTAGGGATTCTGGCTGGGGGATTGTGAGACCCATAGTATAAAAAGTTAAGATTTCCAAGTGCCTTTTAATCCTTCTCCCTGCCCATCCATGTTACAGGTTTCTTTCCTTTTTTAAATTCTGTTCCTCCTGTCCATCTTCTCTGCCTTCCATCTCTCTTAGAGGCTGCAGAGAGAACTAGCAAAGTTTGAAAAAGTTACTTTTGAAGCTACAAGGCCCAGAGTCCCCAGCCATTATGGACTGTGCTTGATGAAGGATTCTGGGAATCATAATCCAAAAGGAAAATTTTTCTGAGTTCTGTTTGGAAACATATTGAGTGCTCCTGCTGGACTTAACCACTTGACTAGTGTATTAACCACTTGCATGGGGCTTCTGAAAATAAGTCAAGGTCAGCATCCAGTTGTAGAGGGATCTCTGTCTTTGTTCCCAATAGCTAGGAATTATCTTATGTCAAACTCTCATGCCAAAATCAATTGGACTTAAAAATGCTTACACCCATTGTGAAGATTGCGTTCACTAGGAAGTAATGTCTGTGTTGCTATGGTAATGCACAATTTGGCTAGCCTTTCGAAGAAAGGGAAATGAGGGTTAGAAGGTTCTTCTAAGAAGATATGGTAGATGACCTAATTATGACATTACTCCTCTGAACATTCTGCATTCTGATAGCAACAGAAATTGGTTTGATTTTATTTATATATTATTACCATACTATCCATGCGCAAGCAATGCAGGGGGTGATAAAGATTGCACAGATCCATAGAAGAGTGGACTAGACTGCATAATTTGCTCTAGTTCGGACATGGTTTAATAAAGGCTTTGCTGTTAAACCAGTAATGAGTTTCCTGTGAGCATCAGCTCAATGTGCTGTGGGCATCAAAGAGCCAGACTATTAGGAAGAATTCTGATATGAGCATGCATTCAAAAGTAATGCGACATTCAAAATGTGTACTCAATAGTGTAAATTGGGGGCAATGAGAAGCTCCTTGTTATAAACCCAGTTGCCAATTATTTTATTCAAGTAATTCTATGGTATATTGTATTTTATGGTCCACCTGTAGCTGAAAAAATTGTGATAGATTTTAGATAATTACTCCAAAGTGGAATTTTTATAGATCAGCTTTCCCCTAATTTGTGTCCCCTAGATCAAACTATTTGATGTGGGGAACCAGCAATTTTTTAAACAAGCCAGGCAGGCACTTGTACCATATTGGGTACATTTGTTTCTCTTTTCCTAGAAACTTGCCATAAACCCTCATCTGATAAGTCATGGATGAGCATTGGTCCAGAGATAACCACCTTGAGTGTCACTGCTCTAGATGTGTTGAAATATAATTCTCATTTAGGGCTATGCAAGGTTCCTTTAATTCATCTGAGAGCAACAGATCCAATCTGGCTTACTTCAGATCCCACATCTGAAACAGTATTCATAAATATATATTTTTGCATTGGGAAACCAAAAGAGCTATAACATCTCTTTTAAAAACAAACAAAACAAAATGGATGAAATATGGAAACATTGTATCCTTTAGTCGTTCTTTTCATTTCTGATTTAAGAAGCCTGAATTGATTTAATGAGTCTAATCTAGCTGGGACTAAAATAAGATTTAGACCTAAGAAATAACATCCCAGTACTGCTGCCTAAACTATATGTGATTCAAAGACAGAACTCACACAGTATGATGATATTCCCATGCTAATGCAAAAGAACTGACTAATTACTTTTCAGTTGTTTTTAAATGATTGTATATTAAATCATTATATGAAAAACAGCTATAATGTAAAAATAGATTTAGACTGAAAAGACATCATAATATTCCTGCTTTGGGACATAAACTATATATTGGCTATACAAACTTTTTTGTGTAATAAGGAAATCACACAGTATGAAAAATCTATTAAAAAGAAATGACTTTCTTAAAGAATCCATCCCTCATTCTTGGCCGTACAAGGAAAGCTGGGCAGAATATTTAGCTCAAACTCCTTAGGTCAATTTCTTACTTTAATATTAACCTGCAGCTGTGAACATGTGTTATTACAGAAATGAAGTAATGGAAAATCATCCTGATGTGAAAGCATATTAGAAATCAAAAATGAATAGGCTTGAGGCTCTTGCACTGTTGTGTGCCATTGAGGAAACTGGCAAAAATTCAGTTTTTGAATGGTTTGTAGGATTGCTGCAATCTTTACTCTATCTGAAAATATTTACCTAGAATTGCTTCACTTATGATTTTGGGTGGAAAAAATTGTCATCACACCATGACCCACAAACATATCCATCAACATATGGAATTTATTCCTTATGCTTAGATAAACAGAACAATTAAATCAATAAAGATTTTAGGCTAGGCTGACATGGTAACATCCAAACATCATTTTCTACTAAACTATTCCGGAGTAGACAGTTTTGTAAGAATGTACTATATTGATGACGGTGAGAACTGTGTGGTGTAGTGGTTTCAGTGTTGGGCTATGATCCTGGAGACTAGGGTTCAAATCTCTGTTTGGCCATGGTAACCCACTGCATGACTTTGGCCTAGTCATACACTCTGAATAAATCTTTCCGGGAAAACCTTGTGATAGGTTTGTTTTAGGGTTGCTATAAAAAAATGACTTGAAAGCACACAAGAACAACACAGATACCTAGAGAGCACCAGATGTCATCTGATCTTGGAAGCTAAGTATGGTCAAGCTTGGACAGTACTTAGATGGAGGATTGCCAAGGAATATCGAGTAGTTTAGACTACATTTCAGAGGAAGCCAATAGCAAACCATCTCTGAGAATGTTATGAGGTCCGAGATGGAATGCTCATCAACAAAAGAACTACAAAGGAAGATTAGAAAGAAAATTAGCTGAATTGGAATGTATCCACAGTTTCCAGTCCATTAACAATAGGTTGAATAGAGACAATGCTTTCCTGGCACACTACACACATAACAACACTAGCTAACCCCCAAACCTCATGAGGGATCTCTTGGCCAGTTCATCATATCTCCTTTCTGGTTCCCACACTACCTCCCAGTACTCCCACCACCATTCATATGATTATCTACTCACCTTAGCTTTAGACAACATCCTTCTTCCTGCCTTTGTCCCCCAATGACCATAATTAAAATTGAATTTGTCACCTCATCTCCATACCCAGAAGGTTCTGAATTTCAATTGATATTCTCTCACACAACCAGTTTATATAAGTCTGTCTCTGGACTCTTCACCCCATGCATCTGAGGAAGTAGGCTCAAGTCTATAAAATCTCATGCTACCAGCTTCTTTCTTTCAGTAAGTCTAAAAGGTCTACAATATCTCTTTGTATACCGGTTTTCCAGAGTAACAAGGCTAGTTTAGGTGAACACTACCTCAGCATCCTACCACTTGGCAATTAGTTTTCTTTATGCAGGTGTTTTTTTTAATGGAGGTTTAAAATGCAATTTTTAAAATGAAAATACTAATGGAGACATTAATAATGTATTCTTGTGTTTGCAATGTGAAGTATTATAGTGGAAGGGATACAGTTTTGCTGTTGGCATCATGTGAAAGATATCATTTGCAATCCATTTGGAAAACAGTGGTGATACACAATCCAGTGATCTCAGACTAATCATCAGTAAGATAATAGGAAATGTATCTATAGTGGTTTCTTATCCACTTGGATAGAGACAGCTCTTGCTTTGAAGGACCCATATGGTGAACATTATAGGAACAGTGGAGGAATATTGCAAGAATAAGCACATTGTTGACTGATGTCACCATTGGTGATCAGAAAGCATCATTTCTGTGCATTGCCAATGAACCAGAAAGTGTTTAACTTATAGCATTTTATATATTTCTTCTTTTTAACCTGTACTCAGGACAAGAGGCTACTTTTAGGACAGCATATGGAATGGTTTTCAGTTGGTCAGGCAAAGCTGCATTTTATCACCTTATCTGTTTAATTTGTATGCAGAAAATATCATTCACAAAACAGGCTTATTTTCAGAGAAAGGAGGCATGAAAATTGGAGGAAGGAACATCAGCAATCTAAGATATACAGAAGGATATGCCGATGACACCATAATACTTGCAGAAAATATCAGAGATATAGAAAAAATAATTGAAGAAGGTCAAGGCAGAAAGTGCAAAGACAGGTTTATGGTTGAACACTAAGAAACCAAAAATAATAACCACCCATTACTTACATAATTTCAATACAGATGATGAAGACATTGAAATAATTCAATATTTTCCATACTTTGGCTCAGTCATTAATCAGAATGGAGGTTAAGAAACAAGAAGAAGACTAGGATGTGGAAGAGCAGTTATGAAGGAATTAGACAAGATCCTGAAGTGGAAAGATATATAATTGAATATTAAAGTTAGAATGATCTAATAAGTCAGCCTATTTCCCATTTCTGTGTATGCTTGTGAAACCTGGACAATGAAGAGACTGATAAGAAGAAAGTCAACTCATTTGAGGAGTGGTGCCGAAGAACAGTTCTGTGGATACCATGGACCACTAAAAAGACAAATGACTCTGGGGATGTTATAATGCAACTTACCTGAGCTGGCTTAAAATTAGAAGTGGGTGGCGTCCTGATAGTATCAGGTGCACTTAGCCACCAAAATCACTGCCTGGGTGCAGCCCAACTCCATTGCTGCTCCAAGGGGTGCTCCTCATGCCTCTTTTCAAAGCTGTGAGTTTCTGGCTTGAAAAAATGGCCTCCAGAGCATCCCTCTGAGTGGCAATGGAGCCAGACTGCACCCAAGCAGCGATTTCGGCAGCTAAATGCATCTGATACTATCAGGATGCCGCTCACTTCTTATTTTAAGCTGCCTCAGGTATGCCACATTATAACATAATGCAATAATCTTCCTAGAGCAAATCAGGCCTGAACTCTCTTTAAAAGCCAAGATGAGTAAACTGAGGTTGTCCTACTTTGGCAATATCGTGAGAAGACATGACTCACTAGAGAAGATGATAATGCTTTGTAAAGTGGGGGACAGTAGGAAAAGAGGAAGACTGCATTCCAGATGGATACACTGGATCAAAGATGCCACAGCCCTGAGTCTGTAGGACTTGAGCAGGGCTGTTGATGATTGGGTAACTTGGAGGCCTCTCATTCATAGGGCTGCCATGAGTCAGAGTCGATTTGACAGTAGTTGACAAACAATTACTACTAGAAATAGGCTAACAATTCATTACAGGACTATAAATAAGAGCTAAGGCTTTTAAAAAAACAATACAACTCCACACAAACCCCTTGTTTTAAAATGGTACTTTTCTTTCATATGTAACATTAAAAATCCTTTCTACTTGTTGATAGAAAAAAATATCAGCAAGCACATTCTGTATCAATCTACATGCTTATTGTTAAGAGTGATGTCATAAGACAAAAGACAAATTGCCATTATCCAACTTTGGTTTGTGGGACTGACATAATTGATGGGAAGGGAAAATAAAAATGATAGGACTCACAAATGTTTCATAGCCATTTGTGAACATTGCATTTTGGCCTGCTAGAATTATTTTACTAATTAAAGAAGATAACTTTGCTACTGCCTATGGAGTTTAAATGTTACTGCCCTTTGTTTCTATCCACACATTGCAAAAATGTGAAAGTGGTCTCTGCATGCAAAGAGATCCCTCCATACCAGCTGAACTACAATAAAAACAACATATGATACAAAATGTAGGCTTCTAACTCAATCATCACTTTTCTTCTCCTTTATGATTTTTATCATCCTTTGCCTAGTGAAGAAGCCTTTAGAGTTTCAAAAATTTGCAAGATGTATTTTGGACATTTTGGTAGGCTAATGAACTGGAGTGAAGTTATTTGTATTGGCCCTACTTTTCAATGGAACAAGTGCTTGTTACTCATTGCTACTAAACTGTTAAAACATCACTTTCTGAATGTTCACTTATAATATAAATAAAAATAATGGTCTAAATCCAGTTCTCAGTCCAATTAGATCAAACCCATTGAATCAGTGGGAACTTGTACATCAACACATGTAAATCCCATTGATTCAAAGTGTTTAGATAGTACTACCTATTGGATTTAGGCCTATGGATACAATTTAATTGCATTCCTTTGCTACACTGGTTGACTGTGTCACACTTTCCTTGAAAAGCAGTCACAATACTCAATTATATAGATTTCTGGTGTAAGGTCACTTTGAAATTAAGCACATTTTTTAAAACTTAAAAAGTAAACAAACCCAACAATCCTATTTTTCCCAAGTGAACACAGAAGCAGAGCTTATAGGAAATATTGTTTTTTGGTGAACAATAAATGTCTCTTCTCTGTTGTTTTGTAAATGTGCAGGAAAGCGAATACTGTGGAGGCCCACAAAACTATAATGACAAATATAACTGAGAAAAGAGAAAGCAGCAGCCCTATGATTTCTTTGCTTGTTTTCTTTCAGAGCCATGTGAACATGTATAATCTTTCTGAATTTCTAAAAGTCTAATCAAAAAAGCATTTTAAACTGGTGCCTCTGACACCTTCATTCTTGTTTGCAGCAAGACAGCCTCCAATTAGACAGTTTAATTACACAGACTAATTAGCCTGAGGATTGAGAATAGGTTTTACAGTTTTACTGTGCACATTTTTTTTGGCTGATTCACAAATTCCTTTTCTCCTGTCTCCTCCCTTCTCTTCCCTCACATCATAAAAAGGAATGGTCATTAGTGATAGACAGGAATGCCAGAAATTGGTAAGCAATTGAATCAAATTAAATTTGATCAAAAATAGGCTAACACTTTTGCTTTCTTTAAAATAAGTTTGTATATGGAAAATCTCATGTCCTTTCAGTTTTCATTCCTGATTTATTGACAGATACAGAACAGTAACACTCTGACTGAAAACCTAAAGCCTAAATTCAATTGCTAAACCCAGCTAGAATGGACCCCTTCAATCAATTGTTCAGTAGTACATCAACATTTATGTAAATTTAGTTGATTCAGTACTTTTACTCTAGTTGGAACTAGTAACTGGATTTAGATCTAAATGTAATTGGGTTATAGCAATTTATAGATTTCTACTTCTGCAGTCTGATGCTGGTTTCTTCCAAATCTTGCTTTTTTTGGAAGCTGCCTTGGGTCCCACTACATGGAAAAAAGGCAGCATAAAAATGAATTAAGTAAGTAAATCATGATTATATGCTATTTTAGTTGACAGAGTGCTCACAGCATGATTTTTAACTGAATTGAAATCCAGGATCCTGGAATAGTAGTAGATCCCAAGGCCCCACTGTAGTGCCTTGTTTAGATGATATTGTAGTTGAACTTCCTCCTAGAATACCTCTGGTGTTTTAACTCTGTAGTGCCTCCCAAAATACCTCTTGATGAAAGTTGTTAGAGCACTGGAAACACCAAAATATGACATAAAACCACTGTTATGATGAGGATCTTCCTCTCTGAGACCTCCTTTAATGCCCAGTTGAAAACCTTTGATGGTACAGTACAAGAGATTTCCTTGCCTTTACAAAGGATAATAGAGGAAGGTATAGGGGTCTTGTTCTCCAGAAAGCT